CACGCTATTTTTTACAGTATTTGTAATGAATAATGACATTCAAAATTGTTTGGAGTGAAATCATCAGCTCTCAGGAGCAGAACTTTGTGTTGCTGAATAGAGAAAGGGAATGGATTCACCAACATACATAATTTTTCATTTAACAGTTTTGGAAGATGACACACCAACCACTTAATATGATTAAAACTCTGTTTATGCCATATTTGAGAGAAAAAGATGGTCATGTTTTTGACAAAAATCTTTCTCTTAAGCGCAGCCTTCATTGTAGGATGTACGATATTATGGTTCCAGAAACAGGAATTAAGAAGATAGAAGTCTACCTAAGGAGTGTACTGGGAAAAGCAAGGGAGAAATATCTGAAGTAATCAAAACTTTAATGGTATAGGGGCTGGCCTATGGCTGAGTGGTTAAGTTTGCACACTCCATTTTGGTGGCCTAGGGTTTGTCAGTTTGGCTCCTGGGCGTGGACCTACACACTGCTCATCAAGTCATGCTGTCCCACATAGAAGAACTAGAATGACCTACAACTAGGATATACAACTATGTACTAAGGGCTTGGGGGAGAAAAAAAAAAGAGGAAGGTTGGCAACAAATGTTAACCCCTGGCCAATCTTTCTCATCAAAGAGCAAACTTAAAAAAGTTTAATGGTTTGAGGGGCTGGCCCAGTGGCACAGAGTTTAAGTGTACACATTCTGCTTTGGTGGCCTGGGGTCCACAAGTTCGCATCCTGGGTGTGGACACGGCACCGCTCATCAAGCCATGCTGTGGTAGGCATCCCACATAAAAAAGTAGAGGAAGATGGGCACAGATGTTAGCTCAGAGCTAGTCTTCCTTAGCAAAAAGAGGAGGATTGGCAGATGTTAGCACAGGGCTGATTTTCCTCAAAAAAAGTTTAGCAGTTTGAAACAAAAGAAATTTTGCATGATTTTTGATTCAGGAGCTACATAAACTCATATTAATACTGCATTGTGCTCATTCTACTCAGAAGCACAATTATTTTAGCTATATAAATTTTTGGAAAAGCCAGTTTTGATTTTTATTAATATTATCTTTAATGAAATACATAAAAGTAGGGAAAATTCTTACAAATTATGCTTTCACATATTCCAATGAAAATAATCTGGAAATATATATATATATATATAATATATATATATATATAAGGGCTTAGGAATATTTTACTTTTGATGCAGGAATTACAGATCTGTTAACCAAAACTAAAAAATAATCCAAAATAATATAAATAAGCTTTCTGTACAGTGACATCTATAATTACAACACATTGTCACTAAATTGAACATTGAGACATAATGGTTAACTATGGACATCCAGTCAACTAAATATTAATCTTCTAAAGAATTGTTTTTCAAAACTATTTAGCATTATGGGAAAATTATACTTTAAAATTTAAATTTAAAATATCAAGATGTAATACTGTAGTTTACATAAAATTATAATGGTGTTTAAAAGGAGAATACAGGAGGAAGATATATGAATTACATCTACCTTTGTTTTTTGGAATTACTTTAACAAGAATCACTTTTGTAAATGAGAAAAAAATCACTGCAATATTTTTAATGACAACTATCACTTTCTATATATGAAAATGGCCTGAAAGCACTAATTTTGTAGCCTGGTCTCCAGTTAACGGTTTCTATCTACATACTTATTGTGTAAGAGAATGAAATGTTTGAGAAAATTTACTAATCTCATTTAGTAAGATATTTAAAATAGATAAATAAATTCTCGGTCCGTGGGGAAGCTCTCAAATGGTTAAGCTTAAGCATCCAGTACAGCAAAGGGGGTCTTCCTGACTGTCAGCTGCCACGCTCTCTGTGCCTGTCATTTCTCCCTTTCCTGGCGGTCAATTTTAAGTGGAATCCTCCAGCATGTCAAAGGAAGAAAGAGAGGGTAAAAAACCATTGATGTCGGAATGCACTACTCTTTAGACTGTAAATTATTGTACTATTTTTGGAGGGCCTATTTGGCACTCCGTATCCAAACCTTAACAAACATATATGTACGCATATGCTTTGCCTAGGTAGCTTTTGACATCTGGAGATACATTCTAGTGATAAGAATCATAAATAAGTATTTATGCATGGGGTGTTTATCTCTGAATAATTTCTAGTAACAAAAAATAGAAATAATTTCAACTATGATTAAAGTTAATTCACTTAAATACAGTATAGTATATCCACCTGAGAGAATGTTGAACAGCTATTAAAATCTCATTAAACAATAACATGAAATGTTAAGAATGCTGTTAAATTATGTGAGAAAATGCTCATAAATTATTCTTTAAATGTTACAAATCTATGTACGTGCTTTGAGTGCAATCTTTAAGAGAAAATGACATTTTTAATCTAAAAAGGAATTGGAAATATATACACCAATATATTTACAGTGTGAGAGTGTGGGGTGATAAGATAGTGTTTGATTTAATATACTCCTTTATTCAGTTCAGAATTTTACAAATTTTTGTAGTATGTATATACATAGATACATACATACATATATGTCAGTATGGCCATTATAAACAATACATAAAGGAGCTTTTTGGTTAGCTATTAAATTGAGGCAAGGGAATTGAAACTATTTACTGAAATTGTGTGTGTGTGTGTGTATAAACTTAGGTGTAAATTGTATTCATCTAAGCACTGACCTCTGACTCATTAACAAAGTAAATTAATTTTAGCCACGTTGCCAAAATATCCATAAATAATGGTGAAATCATTTCATTTCTCACAAATTCTCTGAACTGCCACCAGAATAGATCAAAATGCTTTCTACTTCAGTGAAAGCTTTGTAATAATCTCCATATAGAAGAGGAACAAAGTAAACACCTCTGCTCTAAGAAGCTGTTCTGAACACTTTAGAAGTAAGGCGTTAGACTGCATGTCAGCAGCTGATTTAATTGAGGGATAGAAGGTTTTTCTTCCCAAGACTTATAAAGAAACTTTTGTTAGGTGCTTAAATATCTCAATTTCTACATGCCAACATCATCCCCCCAGCCCTGCCCTTGCCAATCCCACACTTTTTAAAAGACACTATTTATCTTCTTAATTTGTTGAATACGCTGTCTTCTTCTTGAAATTGTGTATTTAAAGATGTACTATACATCTTTCCTTATCCTTCACTGTATCTTATAAATATTCACAATTTGTATGTCATTTTGACCACCAGGATTTTTACACAGCTTCTTGAATATAAAATAGTGGGATTTAAAAATTCAGTAAAATGTCACCGTCAATTGTAAGATTTGGAAAGTGTGATTTATTTTTTTGGCGAAAATATCTTCCTAGTATTTACGATAGTAAAGTTTACGAATACCCAGCAAAAGTTAACCAGGAAAGCAATTTGCTAGTGAAGTTCCCTCCAGTTCACATAAAAAACAATTCCCTTAATTCTACCTGTTTGATATAATCATTTTAATAGTTGGATATAGAATCACCAAAAATTTTATTCATATATAAGTGCATATATTTATTTAGAACGCAAATGAGATCACACTATACATTAGTTTATAACCTGTTTTTCCAACTTAATGATATACTATGAAAATTAATCTACATTTCTATCGTGGAAATTATATATGTTCCAAATAATTTATTTTTGCTTTGATTAAAATTAAAGTTAAAATCATGACAATTATTTTAATAGTACAGAACTTTAAGAAGTGCTAAATTTTAAGCTATTGATACAAGATTTTAAGAATTCAAGGCACTGAGCTGCCTGATATAAATACATATATAGATAATTATAAAAGTTTGAAAATATGCATAAGACTTGAAGGTTTTGAAAACATAAAAGTGTCCATGCTGCTTTGGGATCTTTTGCCAATTTATACTTACTCTCTAGTTTCTAAGTATGAAAGTGATTCTCTGCTAGTTCGTTTATAAAACTCGCATAGAAGATTCCAATTTATCCACAATGCTTATCTTCATAAACTGTCTCCTACCTGTGAGACTAGAATGTTTATTTATTTGATTTTGAGGAAAACCTTATTTGTCATGAATATTTGTTACCGGAAATTAGATTCAAATTGACTCATTAATCTTGTCAAATTTAAACTGCTTATTGTGAACTTACAGATTTTTTTACAATTAGATAAACTGTATAAACTGTTAATATGAATTTGAAATTTAGAGGAAAAATAACCTTTTCCCCTACTTTTCACACTTCTTTTTTTTTTCTTTTGAGGAAGATTAGCCATGAGCTAACATCCACCACCAATCCTCCTCTTTCCTGCTGAGTAAGAGTGGCCCTAAACTAACATCTGTGCCCATCTTCCTCTATTTTACATGTGGGTGCCTGCCACAGCATGGCTTGATAAGCAGTGTGTAGGTCTGCATCCAGGATCTGAACTGGCAAACCCCAGGCTGCAGAAGCAGAGCATGTGAATTTAACTGCCACGCCTCTGGGCTGGCCCTCTTTTCCCCTATTTTTAGGAGAAAATCCTTAGAAATATAATACAGACACTATGTCTTTGACAACACGTAAAAAATCTATTTTATCCTGGCTTTTAAAACCTGCATGGTTTTCCTTGTGAGGTGTGTCATAATTTATTCAACTACTCAAATTTTGATGGACATTTAGTTTGCTTCGAGTATTTAAAACGTTTATAACACCTTAAAAATACGACTTGTACAACAAAAGTAATATGTATTTGTTGAATGAAAACTCTTCTCTAGATTGTCCTCAGGTCCTTGAAAGCAGGTGTTGGGCACTTTTCATTTATTAAATTCTATAACCCGAGACCCCCTACTCACAGCACACGTGTGGCTCACTAAATTTTATGGAATGTTGGGACTGTTTGGTGGGAAGGTACAGCTTGAATTTATGGCTATGGATAGGGATCCTCTTCCTAAAACGTCCCTGACTTAGAGATATGGCTGGACTTCACAGGCATTAACTGTAGATTCAGAATGCACAAGAATTGAGCCTTCCTTAACGTGATGGCGATGAAACGAAACCACAGAAAGAAGCGGGCACTTACCTGGACCAGGAACATAGCTATGTGGTGAAATTCTCCACGGCCCCCTTGCTTAACAGGAACTGTCATAAAGAATTTGCTGCCATCTCTAGAAAACACAGGCTCCTCATTCTAAAACACAGAAGTGCATATAACAATCTGAAAATGGCATGTGAAATTTGTGCTGTCAACTATTGCTAATTCATGCTTGGATTAGACCAATTATTGATTTAGAACTAGTTTGGAAAATAGTCAACTTACTTAAAAAATAAGTGTATGATAGTGTTTCTTTTAAAGCGAACTCAATGATGCATCGCGTGTATGTATGTGTTTGAATGGTGGGAAGGATGGGGAAGTTTCCTGAATAGTGGATAAGAAAAATTCACAATTAGACTAAAGCTACATTTTAAATTGGTTCAAAAAAGAACTTTCATATCCTTACATAAGATATGATTCTGTTTAGGAATTTATCCTTCAAAGATAAGCGAAATGTGGACATCTGTACCAGTTTATCAAAGTAATTTGTTTAATTTAGAAAATTTTATAAAACACAATATTTAATATATTTTTCTGAAATCTTTCACTCAGCAACTCTAGTTACTTGAAGATATATTTCCGATGATGGATACATAAATTTTCTGAAAATACAAAAACCAAAAGGAAACAAAATTGGAAAGAATTCATTGAAAGTCATTTAACTGAAATTTCCCATCCTCACTGCTCACCCCTCCACAAACACGCAAACACAAATGCCCATTTGATGATTTTTTTAATTAAACTCTAGTGGCGTGTTAAATCAATAGAATTACTTTTGAAAATTATCTGGAGGCTATACATATAGATTGCCTTCTCACGCTACAGGGGAAACATTAAGAAAATGGATTTACCTAATAAAACATTGAGCTCTTTCCTATTGAATTAGTGAGAGTGATTATAGTATGGCGTAAAGCAAGGCTTGGATATGGTTTCCTCTGTAGGTCTTTAAATGGTTTACAAGCCCTTTGAGATGATCTGGCCCTCCCTTCTTTTTCTCATCTCATCTTCTTCCTTTCTCCCGCTTCCTCATTGTGCGTGCTCCTGCTCCAGGGCCTTTGCACTTTTTATTCCCTTTGTCTGGTTCTTTCTTGTATCTCTTTCATATCTCTGCTCTATGTCATCTTATCAGTGAGATGTTTCCTGATTACCCTATATAAAGGGTGATCAAGGAAGTCAGAGCAGCCAACTGTATCTGAATCCCTCATCCTCTTTTACCTACTTTCTATTTTTTTCCGTAGCAACTAACACCACCCAACATATTATTTATTATTCAATCTTCTTTGTGTATGAGTGAATGTGTGTATATATGCATGTAGGTAGGTAGGTAGATAGGTAGGTAGGTAGTGTTCCTCTAGAATGTAAGCTCCGTGAGGCAGGAATCTTGCATTCTCCCCTGCTGTAACTCCAACACCTGGGACAGTGCCTGTCACACCAATTGTGTTTAATGATTATTTACTGAATGAATAAGTAAATTAATAAGTATTTTAATAATCTCAAGAGTCTGATTTTAGCTTCATTAGTAATATTCATTGATAGAAACACAAGGATAATATTTTCCTTGTCTACTTCATGGACACACATGAAAATATAAAGCCATATATGTGATAAATTTAAAACTCTGAAGTAGTACAATTCAGGCATGGGAAAATTGCATCACTGGGAATATACTAAATACTGACAAGATACTTGACTGAGTGAATCACAACTTTCAACTATGATAGACTCAATAATTCTGTACGTTCCACTGAATACCCTCTGGGATATTTCTCTCTTTGCCTTTGCACATGGGGTTTCTTCTGTCTGGACCAATCTTTCTGTCTTGCTTTTTGTGCCAAATCTTACCAATTTTTATAATTGTTTAAGTAAAAAACGTTTTCAAATTTCTGTAAAGAGTCTCTCTTAGTTAGGAAATCTCTCCTCAGAGATCCTAAAGACCATCCTGTATTTATCTCTATCATGAGTTTCGATGCACTCTATTACATGGTCACCTTCCTTCGCTAGGCAAGTAACGTTCAATTTTATCTTTTTAGCTCTATTTTCTAGGACACAGTAGGTGTCCTACTCATAATTGATTAGGTGAATGCATATGCACAAGGGGCAAAAAACTTTGTTATATATATCACTTTATCCACCATATTAACTCCAACTATTAGCTCCTCCCTCACTCAACATTCTCCCCTTGTGCTTTGCTCCAAAAATAAATTGCCTTTTTGTGGTATGAGGATATCTGAGCATCCTACTTTTTATATTGTACCCCCTCCTCCAATTTCAGCACCTTAGAAATGGTACTATAATTGAAATATATTGCTGAGCTTAAAACCTTCCCCACTAGACAATAACAGGCTATAAACATGCAGCTCTAATCAGACCCTTTCCTACGATCAAAGAAACTGAAGCCAATCTCATTGTCCACTTTCATGACCTTAAGCAAGTCAGTGTTTATGATACACAAGGCAATGAATTGGACATACCAAACTCTATCCTTTGACCAAACATTTTGTACACTGCTTATCCTTCTCTCTGTTCTTCCTACTATCCAGAAAGTGAGCATATTATGATTGTATTAAATTTCTAATCGTCCTTGAAAATTTGCTTCATCTCATTACTAATACCATTCTTATCCTACAAATTTCATCAAATTCTGAGTATTTCATGAAATTCTCTTAGAGCTTCTGGAGAAAATGTCAACTGTGACAAGCTACCATCTTATTTTCTTACTGAATAATTGATCACTGGTTTCTTTGCTTAAAAAACACTCATAAATTTGGGATTTAAAATGTAGATAACACAATCCCCAAAGAGCATGCTTTATGTTGATATATGTTAGACTATTACGAATGTCACTGGCAATAAAAATGGTAGCAAAATAGGTTTACTAATGCAGATCAATTCAGAATATATCAATATTATGCTGTTGTTTTTCATTGTTTTTATTTTCAGTATGCAACCTCATTTTGTGAGAGTCCATTATTGGCTACAAAATCAAGGATTTTTTTCCCCAATTTCATCTTGCACATTGACTAAGATTAAACAGATTATATTAATATGTATCAGTAGATAGATAGATAGGTAGATAGATAGACAGATAGATAGATAGATAGATAGAGAGATAGGCCTATAGTTGAAACAAGCAATGGTTTTGCCCATTCACTGTCCTTCTTTCTCTTTTTCTTTCTTTATTTAACAAGTATTTATGGTACTTTTCTTATGATCAGACTCTATATTTGACATTTGGTTTACAATGGAGAACAAAAAGATAAATATACTTCCTCTCTTTGTAAATTAGTAAAAAAAAATCACAGAAATAATTGTATAACTGTTATACAAATATTACACTTGATTTTAAAACAACTTTTATTGAAGGACAGGCTCTGGTTAGAATGGTTGGAGGAGGTAACTTCTTAAGCAGGTGATTTAAGCCGAGGTTTGAAAAGTGAGCAGCCTTCATGTAAGAAGGCAGTTGAGAAAATTTTGTTTAGAAGGAATATTTCATAGAAAGACACTGTGACTGTGTGGGCTAACATGCCTAGAATGGAGAAAACTGGCTAAAAGACGGAATGGTGCAGAGCTGGAAAAGCTTTCAATTTAATTCGTTGTGGACCCTTAAAGTATGTTGGTCTTTATCTGTAGAACAAAGGGATAGATAAAAATTGTTTTAGTCGTGAGAGTGGGAGTATGATGATAATGTGGATGGTGACAATCAAATACATATTTTGAAAAGTTTGCTCAGCCAGCCTGCAGTGTGGAGAATGAGCAGACTGGCTGGTGCCTAGGGGATTAAGAGTTCACCAGTTAAGGAGGAACTGGAGTATGTGTAGTTTGATCCTGTATGGTGTTTGTGAATTGCAGAAAAGTAAACTGACTTGAGGTCTTTGAAAGCAAAATCAAAGAACTTGGTGATGAATAATATATGCAGTTAAGGATGAGAAAATGTTCAAGAATGACCACTAGGTTTATGATTTTAATAGCTGGGTGGATAATTACGGCCTTGACTCCTATGATAAGAAGACAGAAAACTGACTAGAAGAGGGAGATGTTCAGTTTGGACCTGTGGAGCGTACAGCTACTTTTATACATTTAGGAGGAGATGCCAAGCATGAATTTGGATGTTTCAGAACTCAGAGAAGTGGGTTGCCTGGGCTATACATTTGGAGGTCTCATTATACGAATGGTAATTGAAACCACAATATGCGTGACATCTAGGGAGAGAATATAAAATAAAAGATCACTGTAAAGAACAAAAATCCAAACCAAACAAAACACTTCCCTCTGCAGGAAGTAGTGATGGAGTTAGTAGCAAAATGGGTTCAGCCATATTTGGATAATTTACTCATGTTTCCTTCTAAAGTGGCCAGTAGGAGACCATGTTATAGAGATATTTGGTAGTTATTCTATTGTGATCGTCTCATTCCAGCTTCATTTTTGTCACAAACTAGCATTGAGAGCTAGGATACATCTAAGGAAAGAAGTGTTCATCTGAATAATCTCCATGTAACCAATTTATGTGGAGGTTTGCTCAATTTTCTGGGCAATTTGAGCAATGCTGATGGTTTCTAGTTTTACGGCTCACAACTTTTTCTCTTTCATCTACACAAAAGTTTACTTATACGAATGATCCTGAAATGAATCCTGGTAGTTCTTCAACTTACGTCCTATAAAAACCAAAAATAACCTTTTCACAAACGATGTCATCGAAAGCCCAAGTAATAAATATTTTAATGCAAAAGACTCAGTCAAATACACCAAAGACTTTAAGGCATATTACTGAAATAATTTTTAAGAGAAAGTTATATATAACAAATGGGTGAATAGGATGGGCACAATGGCCAAAACGTGACATAAAGAGACCACCTACGCCATACCTGTTTAGAGAGCCATGTATCTGATGTCATCTCGTATTTCTGAAACAAAACAATTAACTGTGTTAAGCATCTAAAGACCAAAATGAACATGCATTGATTTAACTTTTTTTACACTGTTATCCTTTAGGCATTTTTTTTCTGTCGTTGCTGGTGAAATACCATGAGAGATCCCTTGTCATTATTGATTTAAACGGAATGAATAAGTAGGGAATTGGGATTAAATGATAATTTAATTATAAAGTCTTTTCCTTGGTAAGCTCCTTCAGAATTCCCAGTGGTAAGTCACCAGGGATAGAAGACCATTTTCCAGCTCTGTTTGATTACCTTATTCAAACTATTTTGAACCATTAGACATTGTGTCTTTTCACTTCTAAGCATCATCAGGAACAAAAATATTAAGTCCTTCAAGAGAACTGGGCAAACAGCCATGAATAAAAGGAAAAGGTGAACATTCTGTCAACATTCAATGTACTCTTCATCATAGTCACTTTTTTCCCTTAGGGAAAAACAATTACAAATTTGAAATGGCAAAATTGTATGTTTCTTTACAATAATCTTGCAAAGGATAGAACCAGAATTATATTTCAAAAAGCAAAATTAGACTAATTGAAGCTCAAGTTAAATATATGCAGATAAAATAAATTTTAATAATGCTGTTTACATGTAGTAACATGAAATATTTTGTAGTTTTCTGGAAAAAATGATTCTATAATAGAAGTATTCAAATGAAGAAAACTAAATCACAATATATTAAGGATTTGGCATATATGCAGAGGTACTCATTTCAAATTGTAAAGAATAATAATTATTTATTTATAGTTTTTTTTGAACCAGTTTCCCTTTATAAAGTCATATTATTATTACATTATAATTGACCACATTTTCTTTTCTGGGTGTTTTTTAAAAATAGATTTTTCTCTATATGTAGCATCAGGGAAACATCTAACTAAATCATTCTTTGATTTCTATTCACAAGTCAGCAATAACCGTCCTTGATATCGGTAAAACACACACAAAAACATATTGATGCCACTGCTCTTTAGTGTCACTAAGTTTTGCTAGGACCCGTGAGAGTCCAAAATTTCACATGATTATTTGTCGTCTTATTTCAATTTTAACAGAAAGTAAAATTTTTTGAACTTTACAAAAAGAATAGAAATGTGATAGAATATAAATAAGCTATCAAATCAAGATTACGATAGAGTTCCTGTATCTATTTTCTATTGAAGCATGTTAATATGCCCATGCTGTTACCTAGAAGGATTATCCTTGTAAAGAGAAGATGACAGGCTTTCTCTAACTAGAATATACACATGACAATTTTTAAATGACTTAGCAATCAGCTGAATAAGAAACCACCCAGAACACTTTAACAAACAAATAATGAAATCCTAGTTAGTCTACAAGCTAGCCAAATGAAAGAGTGATGAAAATAAATTTTCTAATAAATACAAATTAAATGTGAAGAGCATCAGTCAAACCCAATAAGTAAATGGCCAACTCATCTGCCTCATTTCCACCTCACTCCAATTAAAGAGAAATTTCTTTCTCTGTATTTCTTTTATAGGCCATTTAAAAACAATGTTTTAAAAATATTGAAGTGTAATTTGCAAATAGTGAAATGTACAGATCTTAAGTGTATATGATGAGTTTTGACAAACTTATTAAGGTTCCATCGAGATGTAAGACCTTTCCATTTCCACACGTTTCCTCATGCCCATTCCCAGAGTTTCCAAAAAGCCAATTGCTCTTCTGAACTCTTTCTCCGTGGATTAGTTCTGCCCATTTTAGCAATTCAGGTAATTGAAACTATGTATTATGTACTCTTTTGTGGGGGGCTTCTTTTATAACACGTTTCTGAGATCCATTGGTACTGTTGAGTGTATCAGTATTCTGTTTCTTTTTAGACAGCTGAGTAGAATTCCCTTGTATAGATACTCCTCATATTGTTTATCCATTCCTTGCTAATATACAATTGGGTAGTTTCTTTTTAGCTATTGTGAAAAAATTTTTCTAAAGATTTTGTTTTCTGCTTTATCTCCCCAAACCACCCCTCCCCCCCCCCCCGCCCCGTACACAGTTATATATCTTAGTTTCAGCTTCATCCAGTTGTGGGATGTCTAAAGATATTTTCAAAAGTTCGTTGGTGGACACAGGTTTTTATTTTTTGTACAAATATCTAGGAATAAGATTACTGGGTATATATATATAACATATATATATATAAATATGTTTTTATATGTGTGTTTAACTTGAAACTGTAAAATCAGTTTTTAAAGTTGTTGTATCACTTTATACTTCTACCTACAAAGAACGAGAATTTCAATCCTCCACCTCCTCGTCAACAGTTAAATCTGTCACCCTTTTTGTTGCTGATGTTCATTTGGTTTTTTTTTTTTCTTTGCCTTTTGGTGAGGAAGATTGGCCCTCAGCTAACGCCTGTTGCCAAACGTCCTCTTTATTTTTCTCCCCAAAGCCCCAGTACATAGTTGTATATCCTAGCTGTAGACCATTCTAGTTCTTCTTTGTAAGATGCCAGCACAGCATGGCTTGATGAGCAGTGTACAGGCCCACGCCTAGGATCCGTACAGGTGACCCCTGGGCCACAAAGCAGAGCATGCAAACTTAACCACTAGGCCATGGGGCCGGCCTCTGTTGCTGATGTTTTCATTGTAGTCATTTTAATAGTATGCAGTGCTACATTGTTATGATTGAATCTATGTTTTCCTAGTGTCTAATCATGTTGAGTGCTTTTTCATGCATTTATTACTTCCTTAAAAGTATCTTTTCACACATTTTGAATTTTTTATTGGGTTGTCACTTTATTATTGAGTTGTATATATTTCTTTGTCAGATACACATTTTACAGAATATTTTTTCCCAGTCTGTGGTTAGCTATTCAATTTCCTAACCATGACTTTGATAACAAGTTTCTAATTTTGATGATGCCAAATGTATTATTTTGTTATTTAAGATGAATGATTTTTTACCTATTCAATATTGTGAAGTTATATCCCATATTTTCATCTAGAAGATTGACAGTATTAGCTCTTAGATTTAGGGCTGCAATTTATCTCAAATTAATTTTAGAATATTGTATGAGATAGATGTCAACCATCATTGTATTTTTCATTAGATTATTGATTGCTCCAGCACCATTTCCCCCCACTGAAATGTTTTGGCACTTATATTGAAAATCAATTGATCACATAAATATGGATCTATTTCTGGAAACTCTACTCAGTTCAATTGATCTATTTGGGTTTCCTCATGCCTCTACCACAATCTCTCAGTTTTTGTGGCTTTTTAGTTATTCTTGAAATCATTTAGTGCAACTCCTCCAACATTCTTTTTCTTTACAAGATTGCTTTGGCTCACAAGGTCTTCTGCATTTCCATATACCTTGTAGAATCAGCTTGCCTGTTTCTACCAAAAAAAGTCTGCTGGGACTTTAATTGGTATTTTATTGACACCATAATTCAATTTGCGTAGAACTGACATCTATAATATTAAGCTTTTCAATTCAAGAAATAAGTTCTACTTATTTAGGTCTTCTTTAATGCCTTTCAGTAAAGTTGTAGTTTTCAGGAGTGAAATTATGCACATTATTTGTTAAATTCATCCTCATGTATTTCATATTTTAAAGATTTTTATGGTGTTTTTATTTTCCATCATAATAATATGAGTATATTGATATATATTTTATTGCTTCTTAGTTATTTTGAAACAAGTGCAAACTTACAAAGAAGTTAAAAGACCAGTTCCAGAAACATCTACATATCCTTTAGACATGTTCCTCATTTATTTGTATTTTGCTCCGCTTGCTTTATTATCTCTCTCTCTCTCTCTCTCCAGTTTCTAAATCTTTTGAGAAGAAAGTGGAAGTGTATTTTTTCAAAATCAATTAGAAGCTAGGAATATAATTTTTTAAAACAATTTGAAAGCAATTTTGAGGCATTGTATCCATTTACTCCCTAATAATTCAGCAAGAATTTCTTTTAAAAATCACGACATTCTACATATTTACATATTTTTAACAGTAAAATGGTCAAAATCAGGAAATGGAACAAATGGTTGAAGGTGGTATCTTGACTTGTGAATTGGGACCTATTCTAGTATTTTTTTGGTAGATTTCTTACTTTTTATGTTTATGACAATACCACCTACAAATAAAGATAGTTTTACTTCTTCCTTACCGATTATCATGGTATTCATTCCTTGGCAAGTTACTCTGGATAGAGTCTCTAACAAAGTTTGCATTAAGAGAGTTAGAATGTATATCTTTTACCTTATTGTTGATCTCATGGTGAACAAGGAAAGTGTTTCACTATTGAGTATAACATTTCGGGGGGTATTTTGTGGGTGTCCTTTATCAGCCTGGGGACATTACTTTCTATCCATTTATGTTGAAAGCTATCATGAAGGAGTATTGAGGCTTGTCAATTGCTTTCTCTTCATCTACAGAGATAGTTATTTATTTTTCTTCTTTTTTTCTGTTAAAATAATAAATTACATTGACTGGTTTTCAATATTAATCCAATTCTAAATTCCCAGGATAAACACCATTTAGTCATGATGCACCGTACTCTATATTGCAAGGGATGATATAATAATATGCTTAAGGATTTTTTTGTTCTCTCTTGTAACATTCTTGTCTAGTCTTGATAAGAGGATTATGTCACCCTTATAAAATAAAGCTGAAAATTTCTCTTCCTTCTCCACTTTCTGAAGAATGTAAGAATGTAGAATTTATTCCTTTTTCCCCCAGTTTTATTGAGATATAATTGACATATAACACTGTATAAGTTTAAGGTGTACAACATAATGATTTTATATATGTATATATTGTGAAATGATTACCACAATAAGTTGAGTCAACATCCATCAATTCATATAGCTATAAATTTTTTTCTTGTGATGAGAACTTTTAAAGTTTACTCTTAGTAACTTTCAAATATATAATACAGTATTGTTAACTACAGTTATCATACTGTACATTACATTCCAGAACTTATTTATCTCATAACTAGAAGCTTGTA